ATCAAATTAATACTTTTCTAAAATTTATAAAAATGCATTATAGAATGTCTTGCTCTGTTGTTAATAAATCATATTTTATTTAATATATCAATTAAAATAACTCTATTATTATTTTAGTAAATCAAATACAATATCTTTTCTAATAACCCAAATATCTATAGTTAATTTAGATCAAGATAATCCTTATCATAATTTATATAATAATGATCTTTTGGGTTAGCAGTCTCGAATAAATATTAATACTAACTATCAATAAGCACCTACTTTTTTACCACTTTTTTATCAGAAAATCAACATCAATTTACATTTAATTTAACCTCATTTCCTTCATGACAACTTTCAAGTTCTTTAATTTCTCTTAATCATTAATTTTAAACAAAAATTATATATATTTTTGTATATTTCTTGTTTATTTTGCTCAATTTTTATATTTCCTGTTTAAGCAAAGTAGGTCTCTAATAATATCAGTATAATTTACAACCTTCTTTGAGCTTTCTCATATTTGTCACTTACTGAGTATCTAAATAAAGAAAATTATATCACTGTATATTTTTCATATATAACTATTACTAAATATCATAGTGCTCTAATGTTTGCTTCAATTCCAGATACTCTAGCAAATATTCTAATATTTTATCACCATTGGCTATTACCTATTCATCTAAGTTGCTCTCTCTTCAGATAGGCAGAAAATGCAAATTATTTTACACACTATCATTACCTTACTGGTATATTTAGTTTCTCAAAAAATCTTCTTGCTTTACAAATTTACTCTAGAATATTAGGTACAATTTTAGATACTGCATCTCTGATAATTAGTTTTATTTATCTTTGCTATATGTGGCTAGCTAGTTAAAAGTTAATAATCGATTCTTTAAACAATTTAATTAGATATTTTCATCAATTGTTTTTATGCATCTCTTGATTATTTTTCTCATAGCACAGATTATTGATAATGAAAATATATTACTTACTAATACACTACTAAGATGTTTTCTAAATATAGTAATACTGCTATATGATTTTAACCTTGAAATTTACAATAAGGATTTTTATTATAGTAGGTTGTTAGCAGGTTTCTTGAAAGATCCTAATAATATGGAGTTACTGATCCCATATAATAATCCCAATTTAGAGTCTATACTTTTTCCTGATCTTTTTCCAGATAGGCTTGGTCATTGAGAAGAAATCTCTAAAAAGTTAAATAACCATCATAGTTATACAAAATATATTAAGCTTAAATTATTGTGCCCAGATCCAAGATTCTATTTCTACTAGTATTAGCTATATTGGTCTTATATTAATTTAGAAAAGCTAAGAAATTATCAAAATAAGCTTTGTATTTTATGTTAGCAGAGTATAAATTGACAGCAACTTTTAACTATTGCAAATTTAATTAATTAAAAAAGCATTTATAATATAGACAGATTATTAGTGAAATGTTAACTACTACACTCTCATCTTTTATCTGAACCAGTAATATATATTTTTGTCAACATCAACTTGCTATAAATGCAATAATTCAAAGTTTTGATCTACTACAGATTTTTTATACTATAACTATAGCTAAGGAACTTTGGTTTTACTTGTTAAAAATTTTATTATACACTGATAACTGTTGTACATTATCATCAAATCACTCTTTATATATTTATTTTTATTACTATCAGAGATTAAATTCTATTTGAAATTTGCTATGAAAAAATCAAATTTTATTTGAATAAAGTAAATGACTACATCATTTTGAATAAGATAAATTTTAAAATCATAGCAGTATATATACTCATAGTATAGCTTATCTTGATATGTCTATTCTAACTTTAATAAATTACAATATTATCTATACAAATCTTTTTGATTCCCAAATTAAACTAGTTCTTTATAAACTAGTTTGTATTTATCAAATTCTTTGATATCCTCCTAATAAATATAATAAATCATCTCTTCTTGGAGAACAATTTAGAAAAAAATTTTTAGCACTATTATCAAATTATAATCCTACTTTATTACATTATAATATCATTAAACCAAGAAAGCAGATCAATAGGTTGTTCTCTATCATGTGGCCACTTTATTATTATAGCAAAGACATTGTAATTTTCAATATATTATCTCTAAATTTTTCACAAAGTATATGATTAAATATATTACCAAATTGAAAGTTTAGATTTGTTTAGATTAACTAAACATAATATCTAATATCCTCATATTTTGGCAAGATGTCTTGGTGCTATAGAAATGATGATTTTTTTGATTAGATACTCCATTTGTCATTTTACTATAGCTACAGAATATTTATCAACTACACTACCTAATTTATAATTAAAATGTATAAAACTAATTCACCTATTAAATAGTAAAAATTCTAATCAATACTGAGCAAATTCTATTAACAAGTATTTTCTCAGACTGATCAATTCTCTTTTGCATAATATTATATATTCATATTATTATCAATATTACAAAATAGTATCTAATCAACTGAATTCAAATATTATCTATTAGATAAATTAACAAAATAACTATATTATTAAAAAAAAAAAAGGTAATTTTAGTGTGATTTCAATTTCTTTTAGTAGAAGATAGTAAATCTTTTTTTTATTAACTACTTCTACTTTATTTACTATATAGAAATAAGAATAAAAAGGTTTGGGATTCTGTAGCCTAGTGGTCTAGATATCCAACTCTCCATAAGCAGATTTTGGGTTCAAGTCCTAGTAGATGTGAATTCTATAAATATTTGAATATACTTATCATGAAAAGTCTAAGCAAGTACAAGTCTGGATTAAAAATTTCTAGAAAGAAGTCTATTGTAGAGAAGTTGGCACTATATATAACTACGATTGTTACAAAAGGTTTTATTACATAATAGTTGTATGTGTAAATCCTTGGTTGGCATAGGTAGCGCCAACAATCATAGAGTGGTATTAGGATCTTGTTTGGAAGAATAACTGAGCAGTAACTAGAATTGGAATAGTAAGGAAAGTGGTGAATACAAAGAGATCTGTAGTAAAAAATTAGTCTTACCAGATTTGGAACACCTCTGGTACTGTGTAGAATTACTTATCAAAAAGAGGCTGAAGTATGAAGGTGTGTATATATCAAAACCCAACAGAGCTCTGAGTGTACTGATAAGGGAGTCTTCAGATGTTATGAGGGCCTGGGATTACCAAAACTAGTGTAGCTAGTACAAGTGCATGCAGTATGTAACTGGGGGCTACAACTGCTAAAAATCACTATAAAAAGAAAACAATGATACATCTGTTATGAACTCCTAAGTCTTATGATACTATCCAACTAAAAAAGACTCTAGAGTGCAGGGTAACCTGTTGCAAAACATGTCTAAGCACCTCTTTACTATAGAAACAAGTATAGCTATTCACATGATTACTGAATTTAATATATTAAAACCTGAGTTTTGAAAGTTGCAAGAAAGCTGATAGTTGTAATAGTATGTAGGCTTGAGATGCTTATTCAATGTAGTAGAGGCAGCTGCATGGCTTAAGATACAAACTCCTAACAAGTACACCAAGTAGGGATACAAACTAAACACACCAAATTGAAACAGAAAGCATCTATCTGAAGCATTAATACACCAATTTGGGAGGTAAGATAGTGGATAAAGTGGGTGAAGCAGAGGATATGTAGAAGTTAATTAGAGGCAAGTAAGGATATACAAAATCTAGGTCAATTATATATATGAGAATGTTTATAGCTCTGATGGGTTTTAGTTGTAGATAAATAGTTTGTATATCTAAAGTCCTAGTATCAATACTAATATGTAATATATATATATTTATGGCATCATAATATATCAATTTGTTTAAATATTAATAAAAGTTTGAGTAGGTGCTATACCTGGGGTATTCCCCTAAATATTAAAAAAAAAAAAAAAAAAAAAAGAATTGTGATAAATTATTAGGTTCATATTTAATCTGTCGAGACTATTTTCATTCTAGATTTCCTGAGCAATTTAATCAAGTTGTGCCAAACATTAATCAGAGTACATTTGTGAGATTTACTAGATTTTTTTATAATTATTAGCAGCAAATAGATAAAATAATACATAGCATGCAGTGAGATATTGCTGCTATTATACATAACCAGCTTAATAATCTAATGTCTTCTCTGTTCTTAATTTCTTGATATTCATTATTAGAAACACCAACAGACCAATATGCTACATTTAATATATTGTCTTCAACATAGAGACATGTAGGTGAACATAGTCATCTGTATTTTTTTTAACTGGCTCAGCAGGAACTAGAAAATTGTATCTAATAACTTTAATCATAAATACTCTTCTATTTCATAATAAAAAGTACTTGTTAATAGCTCCAACAGGTGTGGCAGCTCAAAATATCAATGGTAAAACAATTCATTCTCAACTAAAAATACAACCATCTACTAGTAATTATATGAGTTTAGCCCTAGATGATTAGGAATGTCACCAACTTCTTCAAGAAACTGAAGTTATTATAATAGACAAAATATCTATAGTATCTACTAATTTATTGACATTTATTAATAATCTCTTTGCTCATCTCCACAATAATGCTTTACTATTTGGTGGAATCAAAGTTTTATTAATTGGCGACCTTGCCCAACTGCCTCCTGTAAGTGGTGCCCAAGTGTTTCAATCCCCCATTTGGTTCAAATTTTTCCCCATATTCTTAACAACTCCTTGCAGACAAAATCAAGACATAATGTTTTACAGTGTGTTAAATGAAATTTGAAATGGAACGATATTACCTAACACATTACAAACAATTGACAATAAAGTAAAATCACCATCTTCACATTTTCCTATTGATATTACACACATAGTTGAATTCTATTCCATGGCTGACAACATAAATAAGTTAGCATGTCTATCCTTACTTCAAGAACTGAAAGATCCTGAACCCTTCATTTCAACTACTATTAACTATATTAATGGTCATGAATGAGATGTGATAGCCAATGATCGTAATTTCTGCTAACATACGCATCTACCTGCAATGTTAATTTTGCAAAAAGGTGCCCGTGTCATGTATCTTGATAATGCTTTGTTTGAACATGGTCTTTATAATGGATCTATTGGAATCATAATTGATTTAATCGATGATGACACAATCAGTGTCATGTTTCCAGCACCACTAAGAATGATTAAAGCAACTGTAAAAAAAAATAACTAAACATTTTCTTTTAAATGGCTTACTAGCAAGCCGACATTAGTTTCCCCTCCAAAATGCCTTCGCACTTACTATACATAAAACACAAGAATTAACTATATCTAATATTTCAGTTGCTATCGATGAACAAATGTTTGCGTATGGCCAGGCGTATGTTGCATTTAGTCGAGCCCCATCTTGGAATTCACTAGATATTACTTCATTCGATCTAATTTATATAAGAACTGACCCAGCAGCTATTACTGAATATGAACGATAAGCTTCGTTGTATAATAATGGTTTAGGCTATTTTTTACGACGATTTTCTTAATCACAATCCACTTTTTATATAACAATTTTTAAATAATTAAATCAATAAAAACAATTACTGTTACCCATTCTATCACCTCCCTTCCACTACCAAGTGATTATTCCCAATAAAGCAAAAAAACGAACAAAAATTTAATGTAATCATTAAAGAACCATAATAAAAATTATTCAAATATTTTTCTGTTCATAATTTTCTCTTCTCTGTTACCTAATTTTACCGCGTAAAAATCATAAACAATTATTATCTAAAAAAAATATATATATTAATAAATCTATTTACACTGCTATTTTTATAATGAAAAAACATAAACCTATCTTACAATACTTTTTTTTTTTTGACTCGCTTATCTCCTGTAAATAATATAGATATAAATCATAATAATAGCTATAAATATCTTTAAAGTAACCAAAAATTAACTAAAAAGTAAAAAATAAATTTATTCAATCTCAGTGATAATTAATTTGGTAATTAAATATAAATCGTAACCGTAAAGTTCGAACCCATTTTCTTTATGCTAAACCCAATTTGATATAAAAAAGTATAACCAATTTTAATCTTTAGATTATATAATTTTACCAAATTCAATAATTCCCGTAAACTAATAACTGACATTGTACTTACTAATTGAATCAACTTAAATAAGAGACACGATCCATAAACTAAATCGTCCTGAGTAAGAATAAATTAATGAGACGAGTAAATTATTTTGAATAATACTTTAATAAATAACAAGCCTTTATAAAAAATGAAAGCAAACCAGCATTAATCATACTTGACGATGTCTATATTAAGTTTGAATTTGATAGATGATAACCAAGAGTCATTAATTTAGTATGACATGCATTCATTCAAGATCTGTCGATATAAATATCGTATACTGTAAATACGTAAATATTATACGAATTACGTATTAAACTACCAATACAATACATATGGAGATTCTCCTATACTCTTGTAAAGAAGAAAGAATAATATACCAGTACGATACACTACCCAATACTATATATATTCTAGCTTCCTTTAAACAACTCAAGCACCTAGTTATATAGGTAATAATTACTTATCTTGGCAATTGTTATTAGCTTTAGATTCCCGTCTGTTTTATATGTATTTTTCAATTTTCCTTATAAATAAAACTGGATAACCCGGATTTTTTACTCCGTGACGGACAATGTGGATAAATTTTGAATCTTTGTGCTACTTTTTATTTGCTCTATATTCTGTAAGGAAAACGCTTTTTATAATACGGAATTAATAAAACTTCTCGGAAATAAAATTTTCATACGTACTGTGCATATCAAAATGTTAATAACGAATAACTACGCTGACAAAGTTAGCGATGAGGCTAAACCTTCTTGTCATAGCGAAGAGTTAGAAAACATCGTTGGTACTGCAGCGGCGATGTTCAAAAAAATTACTTGCCAGATTTAACCGAACCGTTAAAGTTAGTAAGATTGAATCATCCTTAGATGATCAAAAACCTAGAACTGAAAAAGATATATATGGACATTTAATTTATCCAAAAAATACAGAGGTGAAAAATTTCGAGGATCTTAAAGATGAAGTAGAAAAGATGCTTTTTCTGCGCTTCCAATATTTCATAAAATATCTCGAGTTAAATCATTTCCAGAATATATTCCTGAAAAAAGACTTCAAAATATAAAGTTGATGTCTGAAGGTGGTTTCAGTACTTTATATACTGCAGAATGGATATATGGAGAAATCAAAAATATAAATTTTATTAAATCAGTATTAAAAGAAAAGGCCCACAACTTGTTGCATTAAAGACTATGCCACTATTTCTGGATTTAATGAAGTAAGCATAAATTTCACATGTAAATTAATTTAGCTTATTATTAAAATCTGATATAACTTTTCGTCAATATTGCCAGATTATTTATGGTCAATAGATTTGATACTTGTGCACGAGTTTTTGGGCATTCATATTTTAAATATTCAAATAAAATGT